CAGGCCATGACCAATGCCTAGAATCTAAAACATCACTAACACTTGCCTCTCGACTTATGCCCAAACGAACGAACATTCTTGAGGGCACTTAAGAAGCCAAAGGACCAAGGGGTGCCAATTGTCATGCCAGAAATAGGTAGAACGACCATCCCCAATATTAATCACCATGTGACTTCTAACTTTCTCTCTTATCTTGAGCAACTTTGTCCAACACCAACTGGCATCTACAGGTATATGGACAACCCAAAAACTATAACCTCGAAGATGATAGGTATGAATCCATCTTACCCATAGAGAGTCTTTCCCAAAAACAACCTTCCAAATGTGATAAATCATTAAAGACAGATTCCAATCCTTATGAGAGCGAATACCCAAGCCCCCATTCTCTTTAGGACTGCATATGTCCTTCCAGGCCACCTTTACTTTGCCTCAAACCATGTCACTCCCAACCCAAAGGAAAGATCTCATTCATTTCTCCATAGCTTTAAGGACTGAAGAAGGAAGCATGAAGATAAAGGCCCAATAAACCTGTAAAGATGAAAGGACTGAGACCACTAATTGGAGCCTACCTGCATAGGATAAACAACGATTTTTCCAAGAGTACAATCTACTTTCCAGCCTATTAATCAATGGGAGGCAATCTCTATGGCCGAGGCGAGTGGTGACAAAGGGAACCCCCAAATAACAGATAGGAAGTTGACCCTCTTCAAAACCCATAATATTCTTGATAAGGATCTTGTGGTCATGACTGACGTTACAAAAGAAAGATGAACTTTTGGAAAAATTAGGGGAGAGACCCGACAAGTTGGTAAACTCCATGAGAGCATCTTGAAGCACCTGAACCGAGTGAGTGTCCCCATGAAAAAATAGGAATAAGTCATTCGCAAAGCAAACATGACTAATTCGAAGAGCCTCACATCTAAAATGATATTGAAAATTCTCATTCTCCTGTATTTTCCGTCGAAGAATCAAAGGTAACACCTGCATTACAGGGGTGAACAAATAATGTAACAACTTCTTTTCTTCTATCATACTCATAAAATATGTTAATAAGAAGACAAGTATACTTATCAAAATAGTTGGGCCCAAAAAAATTTCTTTACTTAATATATACATTCTTTACATAGTACAGTATCATTTGTACAAAAAGACTCTAAAAAACAGTGGACAGTGTAGCCAAGTCTCCCCGCTTGCCGACGTCCATCCGACCACGTCCTCACCTATGTCCTGTAAAAACATAAAAAACAACGGGGTGAGCACAAAGATGCTCAGTAAGTAAATCCTCTACTCCATTTTCCCCGTGTATTACTCTTCAATTCTTTTCTTACTCTTGTCACTTTCTCTTATTCAATCTCTCTTGTTCTTTCTCTATCTCTAGCTCTCACTATTCTTTTCTTTCTTTCTATTCTCCTCACCCATGGAAAATATCATAATAACATGCATGGATGAGATGCATATGCACTAAAGCATAACAATGCATTTTCTCTCTTTTCTTTTCTTTCTATTCTTTTCTTATTCTTTCTTATTCTTTGCCGATCGGTCTTGGTTGATGCATGGATTCGGAACCCTTAGCCGTGTGAGTGTACTCTCTCTCTCTCTCATATATAGCCCTCACCCGCATGTATTCTCACGGCTATATAAATTCCTTTTCTCATTCTTATTCCGCTCTCTCATGGCGGAAACCGCTCTCTCATGGCAATTACACGCGGATAATTTCTACACTCACGGGCTCCCCATCGCACAACCTATTCTCTTTTCTCTTCTTTAGCACTTATTTTTCATTTTATTCTCTAGTGCTAACCCTTTCTTTCTCTTTATTCTAAGAGAGTTAGTTCTTTTCTTTATCTCTATTCTTAGAGTGTTTCTTTCTCATTTCTCATAATTCTTTCTTTGGTGATTACTCAAATAAGCTATGCATATGGATAGCTCATGCCTAGAATCTTTATTATATGCACTCATGAAATGCAAATATGTTATGTTGCATAAAGTAAGGTTCTCTACTTCTACTCATGCTTCTCTTAGACATTTCATCAAACAATATGTGTGCATACAAAAACCCTACTCTAACTATAGTTCTACTTCTTTATTAACCATCCAAAATTGGAGTTCAACTCCTTCAAATCATCACACACCCTGTAAAGAAAACACACTTCAAATATTCCTCTCAAATTCTTCTAATTCTATCCATACTTCTACCAAATTTTATCAACACAATCCACCCTTCTCATGGTGGAAATCTCTTCATAAATCAACATTGAACTCATTCATAACTTCATCAATTCATTTCAAACATAAAAATCCAAGCATTAATCATATATAAATTTCTACACATCATTCAATCATGCAAATCACAACTTAGGTGGATTTACTTACCTTATACTCAAGTAGAATCCACTTAAGCTCTCTACTCTTGATGGCTTGATACTTTCTCTTAAACCTTAAACACAAACTCAATAAGGATCCTACTCTTACACCAATAAAATTCACATCTAGAGTAAAGATTCTTACCTTTAAGTGCTTAGGATCAACTTGTATCAATATCTAGCCAAAAGCCCTCCAAAAATCCTTGGAAAGTTGAATGAAAGTTTGAGAGAATTGAAGGATGAAAGAGGCGGTGGAAAGGAAGGAATGAAAAGGTTTCTAAAGCTAAACCCTTAATATCTCATATTTTCTCCACTCTTTCCCATTTTACCCTTACTCTTTCTTAGAAATTTCACCTTTGCCCTTGAATTCTTTGCAAAAACACCCCCCAATCAAACGATTCTCCATGCAATTTCCTTGCATTACACTCCCCACTTTTCCTGCTAATTAGGGGTAGAATGATCATTGTGCCCCAAAAGGAAGAATTCTCTAAAAAACTCAAAGGAAATTTCAGCCGAGTCTTCACCGCGACGAAGCTCTTTCTTCACCCCGGCGAAAACTTACAGCAGTTACACGGGGTTGTAGCACTTCATCGCCGCGGCGAAGCTTCTTCTTTGCCCCGGCGAAGACTGTAACATCAAGATTTCGCCAAGTCTTACAATTTTCAGGGCAACCACTCATTCAAACCAATACACCCATTCAACCAAGGGCCAACCAAACAATATTAACAACATACAAACTCAAATGAGGATAAATCAATAAACATTCAAGCCATTCATAAGATCTTAATTACGTACCTCAAGTGGGGCGTTACAAATAAGGGGATAAGGGATCACATTGCCTTATAACTCTCTTGCCCTAGAAGAAGCCATGTAATTCTCCATTGATGGCCACTGAGAAGGAAGTAGTTGTCACACATTCCTTGATCCATTTTATCATTTGGGAAGGGAAACCAAAAAATCGCAAGTCTGTAGCAAAAAGCTCCAATCAACACTATCATATGCCTTTTGGATGTCAACCTTAAAAGCACATCGGGCAACTTCAAAATTTATGTGATAGTTAATGAAAAGTTCCTATGCAATTAATATATTATCACTAATCTGTCTCCTCAGAATAAAATCGGATTGAGTATCATGGACAAGATCTCCAATGATTTGATTCGCAATGATCTTGGAAATACATTTATGGATAACATTACAGCAGGAAATAGGTCTATTGTCTCCAACCTTTAGCAGAACTTCTTTCTTCGGCATAAGAGCAATGAAAGTTGCATTAACATCTCTTAACATTTTGTCGGAATTAAAAAAATCCATAATTGCTTTTGAAAAATCCTCCCCAATGATGGCCCACACAGCTTTAAAGAATTTAGCTGAAAAACCATCTAGCCCCGAGGCCTTATCATCTCTAATAGAAAAGAGAGTAGTCCTAACCTCCTCTGTATAGATCGGCTTCACCATATTATTGCAATGAAAGTCTGAGACCTGTCTAGAAAAGAGACTTCCCATGTTAACCAAAGGATGGACTTGGTGAGAGGTACCAAGAAGTTTCTCATAAAAGGAGGAGAAAGCTTCTCCTAACTCACGCCCCTCTGCCATGACACCAGAGTCCAATAAAATACGATCAATCCTTCTTCTATTTTGATTAGAACGGAGGGATTTATGGAAAACGCAGTGTTCTGATCCCTAACACTCAACCAAGAAGCCTTCGATTTCTGCTTAAGGAAACACTCTTCATCGAGGAGGGCCCCCCTATAAGCCGTTGAGAATATTATTTCCTACTCTTTTAACTCTTTATTAAAAGGATCCCTGTCCAAAGCAAGTTGCAGATTCTCTACCTCCTTTCTCAGTGCCACTTTCTGAGACAAGTTCCCTGGTTTTCTATTCAGAACCCTAAACATCGGCTTGAGCTTCTTGAGTTTGGTAACCAATTTAAACATAGGAACCCTTGGCTCATCATTACTCCAAATCTGCTGGACCAAAGGAAGGAATTCATCTTTGTGTGCAAGATAGTTGAAGAATTTAAACGGCTTTGGTTTAGCTAACATTTGCTTGGGGAATGTAGTAACCAAAGGACTATGATCACTTATGCCATGAGGCCAGAAAAAAAACATTTGCATAAGATTAAAACCAAATAAAGCCAATTGATTGAAGAGTTGGAAATTTGGTTTGGAAATTTGGTTTAAAATTCTATTGAAGTTTAAATTTTGGAGTTAATAAACCACCACTAGGTGACCCAACGATCAACTAAGACCGTTGGATATATTACTCAAGAGGTTCTAAGTTTAATCCACCTGAGTTGCTAATAGGGATAGCCACTAAGATGATTTACTCAACTGTCAACCTTAGAGCCCCGGGGGATTAATTGAGGTGCACACAAACTAGTCCGAACACACCCGGTCACCTAAAAAAAAATTAGAGTTAATATATTAATTTTTTTTAAATAAAATATATGACTATATTATAAAGTTGTGGTAAATGATACAATCATAATAATTAAATTAAAATATTTATTTACTTACCAATGCATCCAGAAACAAAAACCATGATCTGGAGTGATTCCATATATGATTTTATTCATTATTAATAAATAAAAATTAATTATATATAGACTCTATTTATGATGTTACCCAAACTCAGACAATGGCCCTCAACAACATCTTTAACACTCCACCACTCACAATTACTCCCGCCAAAACACCATTCATCACCACTCTTATCCTACGCACCCCCTGCATTAGCCTACACCCTCCTCCATATCCAATCCTTTCTTCCTCTTCTTCACCCAACCCCACCTTCACTAACCCTCCTAGAGCCTCCCCTCCCCAGAAATACACTTATCCTGACCCAATCCCTGAATTTGCTGAAGCTGTAAGTACTTGTTTATATGTTTGTATTTCCCATCTGTATTTATGTATCTCAAGTTTTATTTTTGTCTACTTTTATTTAAAGGAGACTCGCAAGTTTCGGGCTGAGCTTTTAAAGAAGCTGTCTAAGGAAAGGGAGACATTCGGAAATGATCTTGATACTGTCATAGATGTCTGTGCTGAGGTAATTCTTATTCTTTCTTTTTTTAAATCTGCAAATGTTGTTATTCTGATTGAAATGAGTTAAGGGAATTTTGATTTTTGGGAATTGTTTGCAAGATTAAATATGATGAATTGTCTTTCATTACTTAGTGTTGAGTGGTTGATGATTATGTGTGTGATGACTTGTTTTTGAAGTTTACAGTTTGTGCATAGAATTTTTTGTTGTAAAATTTAATACTTGGATTTTTTATGGAGTAGAAAAGGCATTGTATATGTTGTTAATTGATAGTTGGCCCGCTTAAATGGTCTTAGAAAGGTGAGTAAAACTTGAACATCAACTACTTGAGGAAATGTATGTGAGAAAATAAGTCTTCAGCTTGATGTCATAGATATATATATAACTGATCCAAGTCACTCTTGGACAGCTTTAACTCTATGGAATTGTTGGAAGTCCTTTAGGAGGCCAAACAAATGCTTTTCTACTACACATCATACATTGGGAAACCTTGCCAGCGATATTGGTGAAGGGAATAAACTGGTCGAGTATAAGGGTGGTCATTTCTATAGCGTATGTGCAGTTTGTACTCTATAATGTAAGAGCTCTAAGCCATCTTTTAAAAGCTGTAACTTTGTATGCATCCTGCCCTTCTTTTAAAGTTGAGGCTTCTAAGTGAACGTTTTAGTTCTAAAACCGCAAGAAGTTAAGAATTGAGTAACTATTTGGGGCTGAATATTCTAGAAGGGAGAATGTATCATTATTTTTTATTATTATTTTTATGTACTGTTTGCTGAGGACTCCGGTTTATTTCTTTTTAAATTCTTCTCTCGCTACAAAAACTTTGCTTAAAACTTGTGAAACTAACAAAAAGTATGCCCATGTGTATATGATAGATACCTTCCAATACTCAATCAAACCACAACAATAACAGTAACAACACTCAGACTCAACCCAAAAAAATATCAACAAACAATAGCCAAAACCAGAAAATAACAGTCAAATCTATTTATATTCTAGCAAACCAAATATACAGAAGATTTAAACTTAGCAATCACTACCCAACAGCACAATCAAAAGGGAAAGCAAACTTAAACAAAAGAAATAAAAAATAATGCTGGTCTTCGAGGGCCAACTCCTCCCAAATAGTGTTGGACTTCGAGGGCCAGCAACCTTCCACTCTCCACTTTTCTCTTTTCTAAATCCCCTCCCAAATTCTCTGTGTCTCCTTTTAATCCCATTCAGACTCTCTCCATAACGAAATTCCCCAGTTAGCCACTCTCTTATTGTCACTTGTCCGACATAATTCTTCCTTAACATTCACACGCCTAGGAACCCTTTCGCCCAACTACTAATAATCCTCTACTACCCATTCCTACGCTTCCTACTATAGACCAACACATCAGGTGCTACATCAGTATACTTAACTTCATAGATAGACATGCATACATTGCAATGACATAGAACTATTTTTGAAATGACATAAATGATCTAATACTAAATGAAAATGCATATTGAGAAATACCAGAAAATTGTTTTTACAATAATGTGCAGTAGGAGAGCATGCATTTAATTTGTTCTTGTCCTTAATTTTTATTACCCTAAATGATTATTATTATTATTATTTTTTTCAAAGAAAGAAAGAAAAAGAAAAAAGCTCTACTGAAAGACCTAGAATATTTTAATTTTTCCAGATTTGGTTAATGTTTGTCCATCAAGATTATTTGGATGTTGCATGGGTATTAGAGAGTCCTTTACTCATCAAATATCTTCCACAAATGATCTGTCTAAGAATATGGAAAGTCTTTCTCACTAATGATGGCAAAAATTTGACATTGATAGAAATGAATTGAGATGTCTAGACACATCTCACGTTTCAGCATACTTAGTCGACCATCACCTGCGGTTTATATCTTATGATATTTAGAAGAAAAAAAAAAAAAAAACATTAACTCAAAGTAGTGATGTTGCCCTTATTCATTGGTATACAGAAAATCAAATAAAGCCCTGGATCATCATTATGGCCAATATGAAAAGAACACTAGGCATTTGTGGTGGATCTGAGTCCCTAAACCAAGGGTTTGGGTGATGTGATTCATTATGTTGTATGATTTAATTCTTCTTGTGTTACAGTATATGTTGCCGGTACGATATGTGATGCTTAGCATTGATGGTTTGGACGTGTGGATTATTTTCCTGTGCCTGACTCTGACATGAGTATGCCAAGAGCAAATTAATATCCCCAAATTATTGATGCAACTGCTTGTTAGTCAAACTAGGTGGGCGTTGGTTGCTTGCCAATATATGTCCCATAACTGGTTGAATAATGTCTGATTTGAACTTTTCTTTTTACAATAAATGAACCAGAAAAGAAAATTATATAAATTATTCATTGGGCATTTGATATAACCTTCCATTTATGTTTCTGCATTAAATTATATATAACGAATGTACAGAAAGGAGTGAGTTCTCTGCTGGGGTATATTCCACCTTGCTTACGAACTTAGAATATGAATTGTATCATCAGGCTGGACTGAAACATGGAAAGCATGGCACTGAAAACCTAGGCATTGCTGCTATCTGGTTGCTTTCCTTGAGAGAGTTGTGGCGTCTCCATCACTGTTGTTTGTTTGATTTACGTTCAATGAGTTTCCATTTCTGTTATCACATGGTTTGGGAAAATGATGTTCGAATAAAGATTCTGTCGAAATAATCATAATTTGATAGTTGGTGATAATATATGCTAATACAAATTCTAAAATATAACCATTGTCAATCCAATGTCTTTAAGTATGAGAATAATTTGTTTATGAAAGTAGAAAAGAAGATCAAGTTCAAATGGACAGTTGCTTTAATCGCTCGAATATGGGTGAGAAATTAGTAAATTTTGTATTTTATCTGTATTTTCATTTACAGAATATGCTTGCCTTTCTGAGACTAATGAAGGATGTTGGTCATCATCACTGTTAAACTCTTGCTCATACATATTTAGAATCACATTATAGAGTGCTGGTCATCTTCAGCAACAAACCTTAATCTAGATTTCTAGCTCAAGCGTCTTTTTTATATCCTATCTTCCTGATATTAGTTGATTTCCATGGTACGTTTTTGTTTTTCCTGAAGAATAAGACCTTATTCATTTTCATCTCTAGGGAAGCCTGGCTTTTGCTTGACTTGAAAGCAGTTCAATGATTGACCCACTAAAGAAATATCTGACCTGACAACAAGAGATCACTGTTTTCCAGACACCTTCCATCAAATTATTCTAACTTTTTGTGCATGTCTGTCCCAATGCTGACAACATCTTCATTATGTTATGTGTATGTGATTCCTTATCTGAAAAGCAGAAGATTCTATTTTCTTTCTTGTTTTTTAAAAAAAAAAAAAAACTATATTTGAATATTTGAAATTTCAATGATGATAACTAGTTTGTGGTGTTGAAATCAGATATTTAGTAATTTCCTGCACCAGGAGTATGGAGGACCCGGAACATTACTGGTGGAGCCTTTCACGGACATGTTGATTGCTCTAAAGGAGAGGAAATTACCTGGAGCTCCCTTGGCTGCACGGACAGCCCTGTTATGGGCTCAAAACTATGTTGATAAGGATTGGGAGATTTGGAATTCAATTTCAAACCCACAAATATGATCGTACATTCATATACATTTCATTAATTTGTTCCTTTTGTTGTCTAGTTATATATCAGAAATCCTAGTCTGGCATCAACAACTTACAAGAAATTGGGGACAGCAATTACATTAGCAAGATCTAATTTCATCACAACATATTACTTTGTAATATTCATGCATTGCTCTTATTGAAGCTATACAGATGTCTTATTACTCGAAAAATTTGTTTGAATCTGGGGTTTTCTGTGGCAAGGATTTAGAAACTTTCGGCCCCCACCTCCATGGTTTTAATGAATTTATATTTCATTGTTTGAGGAAGTTCATGTATGAAGAGCGTCTGCAAATGAAAATAGGCAGTTCATTAGACTTTTGAAAGACCACTGTGCATGTCACAATTTGAAACTTGAAATAAGCATTCATCTAGCTTCCAGCCTCAGAGATGCTTTGTAACGATGGCCGCCATGATTTTGATCTCATTGCAGCTGGGTTCACTGATGCTGTCCTTGGGCGGTGCCTTTCCTGTTTCAGCGCCTGAATATTGAAAATGGTTTATAGCATTAGTATTGATGGCTGAGAATGCATAAATTTAAAGAATCTATGAAACTTTTGTATAACTGATCAACTTTTATTGTTTAGTTTCTGGTCTATTATGCATATGATACGATCACGATCAAATCCTCTGCTTCAAATCTTTGATTAATCTTTTTTTTTTTCGTTGGTTCTAATGGTGGTCAAGCTATATCTAAATTTGTGTTGCAGGAAATTATTCACCTGTAACCCGTTGCTTTTCTAGAGGGATATACTTAAAAACTGAAGAACAGGAATCATTCTCAGTGTGTACTTTCTTCCTTGTTAAATGGATCGTGAGTCGTTTCTAAGAAAAGAAGAATAGGAATTGAGCAAGTAATAACTTATCATGTTAGTTGAGAAGAGAAGAGAAGAGAAAGATACCTGGGTACTGTTATCCATGTGGGATTTGGGTTCTGTTTCAGAACCTGAACTCTGCTTGTCCTGAGGTATCTGCAAGTTCTCAACTGATTCCTGCTGGTGCTTCTTTGTCTTTGCATACTTCTTGGCCTTCAAGACCTTCATAACCTCTACAAACCCAAAAGAAAAGCACAATCAATTAGAAGTCATATTCTTGAAAGCAAAGAACAGAGAAGATGATGATATTTGAACATGAATAAAAACCTTGAGAAGTGATAAGTCGATAGGCATGACCAAGAGAAAGAGTATCAGTAGGCCTAAGAAGCTTAACCCTGGTAAAACGGACGGACTTTTGATCTTCTTCAGGTAGAGGAGGCAATGGTATTATCAAAGAAACATAGTGACCCGGGTTCATTCTCATAACCTCACTAACTGTGACTGGCCAATACAGCCTCTCTATTTTCCCACTTGGATGCTGTATAACCAAGGCAGCAGCATCAATAGCTTGACAGTTTCCCATCTTCTCAAATCTGTTATCTTTCTGTTTGTATGTATGTATGCAAAATTAGAAGAAGAAGATTGAAAGATAAGAAGGAAGAAGAGAAGGAAAGGGAAGGAGGGAGGGAGGGAGGTGAAGTAAGCAGAAGTCTCTATCTATACAGCAACACCAACACCAACACCATCCCACCCTACCACCCTTCAAATTATAGTAATAATCCCGTCTCTCCTACTTTACTTCTCAACTAACTATTATGCCACGTTGGCTCCCTCTCTCTCTCTTAAACTCGTTTCAATTTCACTTTCACTAATTAAATAAAAATAATGAGAAAATATGTCCGCAGCGGCACCGGACCATGGAAGCAGGCAAGAGCAGCACGTGGAGAGNACTAAAGATTGGGTGTGATCACAACATAATATAAGATTAAGTGGAATTATTATAACAGCTTTCAGAAACCAATTTCACCAAATAGCATCATAATATTACATAAACATATGCATGTAATTCACAGATTCAGACACCCATAGGCACATAATTCATACTTTAATGTAATGCACAGAAACTGAATGAAAAATACCCTCCACTGTTCTTATTTCAACCTCAAATGAGTCAAGAAAATAATTTTTGAAACATGTACTTTAAAAGCTGCAATTCACAATCAACGAAAACTAAAGCTGAACAATAAACATAGAAACAAAACACCCTTCTAATTGCCGACTTCAGCATAGGGAACATGAGCCATAATGACTCACAAACCACTTAGAAAATGGGCCTTATTCTGGAGATTGTAAAGAAGGTTGACTCGAATCCTTTTAGGAATTTTGAATATTTTCTAAATTCATGATAATTCGTCAAATAAAAAGAATATGTTTCATGATCAAGGCGTAATATGGTGGTAAAATAAGGTCGCCTCTAAATGACCATCACGCCACTCCTAACTATTAATTATATTGTAATGTTAGTAAACACTGACAAATGGAAGCATTAAGTTCTGTATCCACTTTCAAGGCATCAACTCACAATGAAGGAAAGCTAAAGCAAAAGAATAAAGATAGAAACAAAAGGCTCCACCCTTCTCTGACATCAACACAGGGAACTCGAGCTGCAATAATGCCCCACAAAAGAACCCTTATCCCATAGATTTCGTAGAAGTTTGACCCAAAACCTTTTGAAAACTTTGAATACTCTGTAAATATAGAGCACAACACATTCAAAGTAAAAACAGAAACTGCAGGGAAATGATATTTTAAAAAGCAAATTGTTGATAGTTCAGCAAAGAAAAGGTAGTTGGAATAAAAAAAGAAAATATATACCCCTGAAATTCCAGTGCTCCAATTCAAATGATGAGTGATGGAGATATAAGCGTTGTTACATTTTCACAACAGCAATATCACAATGAAGGAAAGAACAAAATCAGAGCATTGACGATGAAAAAAGATGGCCCTCTCATTGTCTGACTTAAAGCAGTGGAGTTATACTTGAAGTTTGACCTAAATCAGCGTTTGAAACTATGAACATTCTGAAGCATTGGCAAAATATATTGGAAGTGAAAGCATGATCAGTGGAGAAATGTTTTTGAACTACAAACTGATGATAGTATTTTGATTGAAGAAAATAAAAAATTTGAGTAAATTTATATATAATCATATGACGTTTTATGGTGATGCGTTAAGATAATTACCAGTTGTAATATAGTAGCTGCTTTATGCTCATGAGTTTATTGATTCCCTCATAGATGTCTCACATGATTTATCATTAGTTAATAATGCATTGATCTGTTTATGATAATCTCAAGAGGAATGGCAAGTAAAGGTAAAATACATTAACTAAAAACTCACCTTAGGCGTGCTCTGGACATGACAGATATATGTAGTTCAAGCACTTTTGGAAGAGCTGCCTGGAAGTTCCTGAGCTACCTATAATGTAGAGATATCAAACCAATCAATGTTCAAATGAGTCTACCCAAATCCTTGAAACAATTCAAACATCGTCAATATTAATTATTATATGCATTTTAGGATTACAATTGTTCACTTTTTCATAGCTACATTTCATAATTTGATTGTTTACAAATGTTTGTGGGTAACAACTCATGTGTGTTTTCAAATTTATTTAGACTTGTAACAAAGACAACACAATGGTGATTACAACAAGACAAATGAGTCTAGCATAGGAGGGCTATGAGATATAAGCAATTGAATTGGTTTGTGTATTCAGTACAAAAATGAAGAATAAGTGGAATGATTATAGCAACTTTTGATGACAATTTCACCAAGTAGAATTATCATACATCAAAGATTTGTCAATACACATTTACCAACAGAAGTTTTGAATGATTTATACCAGCTGTTGAGGAACAAAAATTCATGAAATAGATTTATAGTACACCAGAAGTTCACTACATTGGCAGATTCTGAGACACGCAAAAATTCACATATCCATAGGCACATAATTCATACTTCTAAGTATTGCATACAATGAAAAGCAACAGAATGAAATACAACCTTCACTGTTCAAATCAACCTCAAATATGTGAAGAAAATAACTTCTCTAAAACTTTCAAAGCAGAATGAACAATGAAGATAGAAAATAAGTATCCTTCCACTCTCTGACTTCAGCATAAGGAACACGAGCTACATAATACCTCTCAAACCAGTTAGAAAATAAAGCTTTATTCCGGAGATTGCATCGAAGTTTGACCTGAATCTGATAGATATCTTCCAATACTCAATCAAACCACAACAATAACAGCAACAACACTCAGACTCAACCCAGAAAAATATCAACAAACAGTAGCCAAACCCATAAAATAAAAGTCAAGTCTATTTATATTCTAGCAAACCAAATACACATAAGAATTAAATTTAGCAATCACCTCTCCACCTTTTTCTTTTCTGAATATCGCCCCCAATTCTCCCTGTCTCCTTTTTATCCCATTCAGACTCTCTCCACAACAGAATTCCTCAGTTAGCCACACTCTTATTGCCACCTGTCCCACATAATTAATTCTTCCTTAACATTCACACGCCTAGGACCCTTTTGCCCAACTACTAATAATCCTCTACTACCCATTCCTATGTTTCTTACTATAGACCAACACATCAGGTGTTTCATCAGAATCTTTTTTAGAACTCTGATCATTCTATAAAGATAGAATACAACACATTGAAAATAAAGATTGAGCTATCGAGAAAATGTTATTTTGAACAGCAAATCTTCCACTCATGACCTTCATTCTGCTATTATATATAAGTTATATCGTAGCTTTTGTATAATAAAGAGTTATTAACCCAGCAGAGATATGCATTATTAAACAAAAATGAAACTAGTGTCCTAGCAGTAATGATTGAAATACATAACAAAGTTAATTGATAAAAGAATACGTACCGCTTCCTTGAATAGATGTTGTATGGTTGTATTAAGGTCACCCTCCCAATGCCATTCAACGTCATCGTCACTGTCATCGCCACTGCCATCGTCCTCACGCTCCCTCAGTCCGTGCAAATTTGGTGTGCTTAAGAGTCCTCTGGAGAAAGTGTTCATCTTGGGGCATTCATTCACCATCATGTCTTTCAAAGCTGGGAATTTGAAGGTGTGATTTCCAGAACAAAAGCTTTTAAGACTTTCTAATCTCGAAAGTGATAGGTACTTTAATTTACTGAAAACAATTTCATCTTTTTCAACATCTCCTGTATTTGCTACTATTTCAACCATCGCCTCACAATAGCTTATGTACATCTTTTCAAGGTTCACCATACTTTTGGCCATTGAGGATGTTACTAAGTTTTCCAATCCATCACAATTCCGTACATCCAAAGTTATTAGATTGTCAAAAGATGCTGAAGATGGCACTAGATTAATCAAATTGTGACAATGATACACTGACAACTTTTCAAGATTTCGAAGAATTGAGACCTGATGAGAATCTTGTTTCCACATGTGTTTCAAATTGAAAAGTCCCCGAAGCTCTAACTGTTTTATATGTATGAGCATCCCAATATGTTTCTCACCCTCTCCACATGAAAACAACTCTTGGTATGAATTTCCCTTTAATATGAGTTTTTGAAGATTGTTAAATCTCTGAAGGATTTCAATGGGAATATTTGTTGGTTCATTTTGAATAACATTAACAACTTTCACTTTAGAAAACCGATGTTCTGGAAACTGATTTGGCCACATAGACATGATGTCTTTTCCACTTAATGTCAATTTCCCAAAATTGGAGTTTACCTAAAGTTCAATCATATAAATCATGTCAAAATAGATGTTCCTTTAAACAATTTTACTCAAAATTAGAAATTTGTATATTTTCAACAATAACAAAGAAATCATAAATCTAAATTAAAAGAGATGAAAATGATAAAATTAACAGTTAGCAATTTACCTTCATTATATTTTCCTTCGACTGGGTTTTGTTTCTCTTGAATGAAATATTAAAGATCTAGTGTACTACATGGGTTAGGGAAATTAGGATTCACTTTAATATTGAGTAATACTTTTTTCATTTGTTTTATTAAGTAATAATTTTTTTCATTTGTTTTATTCGTGGTCATTATTTGTTTTAGTGTTTTATTTGTTACAATTGAGTTTGGGGATCATTGGGATAACAGCTTGTGGTTACAAGAGGAGGCGACAACATTGACATGTGTAAAGCTCAAAACTTAACTCCTGTTTTATGTATATATAAATATAATCATTCGAATGGAGACAAACTATTTTGGAAATTTGGAGGAGTGATATGGTTTTAAATATATAATTTAAGCAAATTAATGAAATTAATATAAAAAGAAGTGCATGAGGGTATAGTTAGCAGGAGCGGGGTGGGTGCGCTAGCCTTTACTCTCACTTTTCATTTGTTTTAGTGTAATTAGGATTCAATTAAATTAATTTGATTTTTTTTTTATATTTTATTATGTTAATGTAAATAGGATTCAGTCAATATTTATAATCTAATTAACAATTATTTTAAACCTTTTTCAAGGGTAAAAAGGTCCTTAAAACACAAAATGGTAAAACTTTGGACTAATTAATGTGCTAAAATTTGGGAGCTAAAAAGATAGGGAAGTAATTTTAGCCGCACCCAGTTTATTAGGATCCCGACTTTTGAATAACATTTTTTTGACAAGTTTAGCCTTAAAGAAAATTACTAAAAATGTTTTTTAATATTTAATTCTTACATAAATGTTCATAATCATTTATAATATATTATTAAAATTGTAATTGTACACCAGAATGAATCAAAAGAAGTAAAGGTAAGTTTCCCATTTGAAGATGAATCAAATTTTTAAAGTCCAATAAGCATCAAGCTGGGCCAACCACCGGGAGCAACCCCACGAAATTGATATAGCCCTCTACATTTTGATATGTACTATTTTCAAAAAATATTTATATTTGAATTAGTTTTCCTTTTAAAAGTTGAACTTTTTATATTCTTAAATTTATGCATTTATGTTTTATATATATATATTTTGAAACTTAATATTTGTTTCTAACTAAATATCTTTTGGAATCATATTGTCAAGATTTCATTGAGTATGAATGGAAATAAGAAATTTAGAGATAAATAATTCTTAACAAGACACGTACCTCTCTTTTGTATAGTTGTTGTACCTCTCTTTTGTATAATTGTTGTATAGTTGTATTAAGATCACTCTTCCAATATCCTTCCGTGTCCTCCTCGTAGTTCTTTACTTTTTGTAAACATGGTGCACTTGTATCTCCTTTAGAGAAAGTCTTCATGTTGGGGCAATCTTTCACAATTAATTCTTCCAAAGCTGGGAATTTGAAAGTGAAATTCCCATAGCAAAAACATGCGAGACTTCTTAAATAGCAAAGTGACAACAACTTTAATTTGTTAAAAACAATTCCATCTTCTACTCCTTCATCTTCCTCATTTGATACCACTTCTATCAACACATCACAGAACGCAATGTTTACTTCCCTCAATTGCACCATCCTTTTGGCTATTGAGGGTGTGAATAATTTTGCCAATCCCGGGCAAACATTTATGCTCAAAACTGTAAGATTTGCAAAAGATGCTGAGGATGGCAACATACAACTCAATTTCATGCAAAAACCTATGATCAAAACTGTAAGATTTGCAAAAGATGCTAGGGGTGGCAGCATACATCTCAATTCGTGACAGTGTTCTACTTTTAGAACTTCAAGATTTTGAATAACAGAGTCCACTTTAGAGTCTTTTCTCCATATCTTCTTTAGATTATAAAGACCATTCAACTCTAAACTTTTTATCTGCATCAGTGTTCCCGTATGTCTATCGTCCCATCCATATGAGAATATTTCTTTGTATGAACTAGAACGTAGTACGAGTTTTTCCAAATCAAAAGATCTCTGAAGGATGCCAAGTGGAATATTTGTTGATTTATCACCTTCGATCTCAACAGTACATTTGCAAGAGAAGTCTTTTGGAAGTAAACACTGCCATGTCATCATGTTGTCTGCTCTTAATACCAATTCCAATTCCTCCAAATTGGGGTAAATCTACAAATCAATCAAACAAAATCAAATCAACACCCANAAATATTTTGGAAATTTGGAGGAGTGATATGGTTTTAAATATATAATTGAAGCAAATTAATATAAAAAGAAGTGCATGAGGGTGTAGTTAGCAAGAGTGGGGTGGGTGCGCCAGCCTTTGCTCTCACGCCTGCAGAATCTATTGGGGAAGTGCGTTCATTTATATCTTTGGCATGCTTCTGCTTCAATTCAACCCCTACAATTTTTTTTGCTTTTAACCCTTTTTTCTTTTTCAAATTTATTTTCTTCCATAACCCTTTTTCCTAACTTTATTTACTTTCTTGTTATCTTTGCATTTCTACCATTCAAATTTAGACCTTACAANTAGTCATAATGTTGGGACCAATTAAATTTATTACTATAAGGAGGTTATAATTTAATAGAGGTGTAGTTACAAGAATTATTGTTTTGATTTCTTATTTTATAATTTATGTTTTAGTAGTATTAGGATTTCAATTCATTGTTTTAGTAGTATTAGGATAGTACGGAAATGAATATCAAAGAGTCATTGTAAAATTGAGTGATTAGATTCGACAACTTCACTACCCTAATCAAATGGGTAGCAATGTCTTCCTTAATTATCCAAATGAGCAACAAGTCGTGTATGTTTTAACTGAAGAAGAAATCATTACTTGAATTAGACAAGAAGAGGAAGAAGATAATCCTGAGGATGATAGTATGGAAATACCAAAAATTTCATGCCAAAAAGCTCTAAACATGCTTGAGAGCTAGAATTATTTTGGCTTCAACAAGAAAGTGTCCATACTGACAGCTTATTACGTACCCACAAGATAAAAGATATGGTAACAATTTTAAAGCATAAATTATGGTCCCAGACAACTTTAGATAAACATTTTATTTCATCTTAAACTTTTAATGTAACATAGTATATATTTTTTGCAATATACATATAATTATTACTATGTAGAGGCAAGTTTTTTAAGATGAGACCTAGAAAAATTATAACTTATTACAATGTGAAATTTATTCTTATTTATAACTGGCCCAAGTTGAGACCAGAACTTTTTATGACTACATAGAAGTTATTCCTATATAGAGTATCACTATAAAGAGGTTCTATTGTATATATAAAACACATCATTTAGCATTAAGAAGCCAGGAATGACTATTGAGCATTTTCTAAGAATCTTACCTCTTTTGCCATCACCATAGGTAGCATGGCCGACTTCCATAAGTTCAAGATTAGTTAATAATGCTTTGTTACCTATCATGTGTCTCGAACAACCATTGTCAAAGTACCATTGGTCATCCTAAAATGCAAGCATTCATGTATGAGTAACAAGGCAATTAGCACTTAACTTGGGTCTCCACACTTTTCTGATTTAAAAACACCCTTTTGGTGTGATGACATGAAAGATCGATGTGGTGACTATTGAGAAAGAAAATCATAATTTCCAAGACATTTTTTTAAGTAGGAAATGAGTTTAAAGCATTTAGGTCTGATGTGACATTTCTTTTGACAAAAATGACAGAATGGAGTGAAATATTTTACCTTTAAGGATGGATCACAAGGGGTAGCAACAATTTTTGGAAATGATTTAAAAGCTTTGACGAATGTGGTCACACCAGGCTTGGATGTGCTTGCACCAGGAGAAAAACTCAAACTCAATTTATCACCAAAAATTTTCCCTTGGCCAAGAACTTCATCAAGCTTGTATGAACCTTCATTTAACCTTTCAATAATGGCTTTGGCCTTATTTAGTTTATTTAAAGCTTGACTTAGCAAAAGCTCATTGTTGAACAAATCATAAAATAAGACTTTCATTTTATCATTAAAAAATATCTTATCTTCTATCAAAGAGGATTTTTCGGATTCAAGAGATTTAATTTTCTTGATAGCTTTAAACCATGACTTATACATCTTGTCATAAGCCTTCTGTTACCATTTGTAGACATCACATGAATTGTTTGAGGACACATTATCACTGTCCTCTTATTTAACCGCAAAGGCTAAAAAAAATTCAACGTCATTGGTGTCATCACCCCTGAGGCTGTGTTTTGTTAGGGTTGTGGGCAGATAACTCCTATTATATATTTTTGATTCCAGACATTCCTTTGTTTGGTTTGACAGTAATATAAAATTACGGGAATGTTTCATTCCCAATAGTGAATACTGTTGGTCATTTTGGGGGCTATCAGATTACCTAGTCCAGGGGTGTTAATCTTTTTTTACTGGGCTTTTTTTTTTTAACCAAATTTTCCCATAAATAAAAGCCATTTTGGACTAAATTGCCCTTAAATGTCTACCAAATAACAATTACCTAGACCCCCAACATTTGAGAATTTAGCTAAAACACCCCAGCCACAAAAAGTATAAAAGTTAACAAAATATCCCCAGCCACCAAAGATCACTACCAACTGCCAGCTACCACCGTCAGCCACCAGCAATAGTCGTCAGATCGATGCACGATCGGCGGGATGTGGTTGACTGTGTGCCAATTTGGCTATTTTGGGCCATATCGAAGGCCAAAAACGACCAGATCGTCGTGGATCTGGCAAAAAATGACTAGAACAATTTGGTTGGAAACAATCAAATTGGCATGGATTTGGCCATTTCCGGCCAGATCCACGGTGATCTAGCTGTTTCGGCCTTCGATCTGGCTGGAAACAGCCAAAACGGTGCATGATTGGCCAAATCTCACTGGTCGTATGTCGTTTCGGTGACTGCCTCCAACAGCCGGTAGTGGTGGCCGGTTATGGTCTTGGGTGGTTGGGGATATTTGTTAAAATTTATACTTTGTTGTTGGGTGTTTTAGTTAAATTCTCAAATATAGGGGGTTAAAAGTAATTTATTTATATAATAATAATATTATAATGATATTAAAAAGAAAGGGCAATTCAGTAAAAGCTTTTGTCGATAATATTTTATTCTTCCTAACCAAACATCTTAATTATTTATACCCATTAATCTAACCAAATATATTGATATAACATTCTCCCATAATCTTCAAGGTAATCTATCTCACTGGTAATCCTACATTTTCAACAATAAAACATTCCCTAAACCAAACGCACCTTGAAAGTTTTAAAACATTACCAAGTTGTTAAAACTTAAGCGGAATGGGTTTACTTGATCACTTTGTGCTTACTGAGTTGTTTAAAAGACAATCAACTAAGTAAGTCATCCCTAACATAAAATAAAGAACACAACTCATTTTTACATGGTTTGACAACTTGCTTACATCCATAGGACCAAGTCTAGAAGAAGCAAATCCACTATGAGATACTTATGTGTTCAAATACGAAGCTAAAGACAAGTATCAATTGCAAAACATCCCCTGTTTAGGCAACACATCAATCTTCACTCTTAGGGTTGAACATCAAGCCACCATAGCTAGCTTCAATCCACAAGATCACCTGGTCACTCTTGAGCTCCTCTCAATGTTCAACACCGAAAAAGCACTTTAGCTTCAACAGCTTGAACACGTCTAAGCAGCAAGCCACCATAGCTAGCTTCAATCCACAAGATCACCTGGTCACTCTTGAGCTCCTCTCAATGTTCAACACCGAAAAAGCACTTTAGCTTCAACAGCTTGAACACGTCTAAGCAGCAATCATGGAACCACATTCCAGAAAACAACTCAAACAAAAGAGAGTTAAGAAGGTAATTGAAGCCTACCAAAGCATAGAGAAACTTAGTTCAAAACAAAAGAACCCTATCATATATTCAGAGATGATACAAAGGTATCTTCAAGCCTCTCTAATTAAAGCGCATTGACATAGAGAATATATAGAACATAGGTGTATAAAGCTGGGGGACAAAGCAGCCAACAAGTTGCTTTTTGGTTTTTCCTTTTTAGGAAAGTTCCCACAAACTTTGTTGGGGACCATGGTCAAGGCAAAACGAATATTTCAGTACACCTAATGAATAAATGACAAGTGTACATGGACCACAAACACATATCTTAGCAAAGAATAAAATCACATCAATGAACAAAGATAGCAATATATGTTGTGAAAATATCTAGCTGATGAGTGTCATCACACAAACTCTGATGTGCCCGCACGACATGAATGAAAACATAAATAATTGAGCGTGGTCACATCAACAGAGCATCATGACACTAGAGATGAAACTGAAAATGATTGTGCATGAAACAAAAAGAAGTCCCCACACTAACACTAGTGTTGACAAAATACTTAAAATCTCCCACTTTATCAAACTTATGAACAAAGCACAATATTTTCACCAACATAATTGTCTCAACACAACTTCAATCAAATAACAGGAGACAAGAAATTAAAAATCCAACAAGAATCAAATCTCATAAGAATCAAAATCATGACTGAAAAACTCCTTCTCAATATGTAAACTCCCCCTAAACAAATGCACTAAATCACATACAAGAGATAAACAATTAGGACTAAATGGGCTAGTTCAATTCACAAAATTAGAGCCAAACAAGATTCAAATATGCATGA